CATTGGGTTAGGATCTTAGCATAGAAGCATAAATATAATAGAGTTTGTGGTTTAAACAGAAGAATGCAAGATTATAAAGAAGGCAACTTTGGTACTTACAGATTCCAAAAGACGCAGGACATATTTCAATTCATTTTTCTATAAATTAAGCTCAGAAAGGAGAATATTAAGTTAACATCCTAGATGAGACATCTGCCAACTACAGCCTGTGGGCCAACTTTGTGGTTTCCAGGTCTTTAAAGGGTTTTGAAAGAAAGAAAAAGGAAAGAAAAGAAGGAAAGAAAGAATATGCCACAGAGACGAAGGTGGCCTGCAAAGTCTAAGATGACTGCCATCTACCCCTTTCTAGAAGATGGTATCTTCACTCATAAGAACGTAAAAAGGATGGGCCTTGCTTCTCCAGCTTTTCATCTTCCTGTTCTTAGAGTTCTCAGGGCCTCAGATACTTGAGAACTAATTTAGCTTAATTCTAAATTTATCTGAATTTCTGGTTTAGCACTGACTATGTCGCATTTTACTTAATGAAGGTATCAGTATGTTAGTTTTTTTTTTTCATTGGAGGATAATTGCCTTACAATATTGTGTTAGTTTCTGCCATAAATCAACATGAATCAGCCATAGGTATACTTCTGTCTCCTCCCTCTTGAACCTCTCTCACTATGTTAAACATTTTAACAATATTCAAACACTGTTGATCCCTGAACCGTCTTTCTGGCCACTTCACCACAGCACCTCTTATAACCCAGACATTTTACCTGCTTAAAATAAACACATATATTGGGTAATCTGCATTTTTAAGAAACATAATTTCTATCTAACTGCACTTAAACCACAAAGATTGTTTCATCTGGGGACAAACTACTTTTTAGGTATAATTGAAGACAAGTCTTCATTTAATCACCAAGTTATGTCCCTGCTGTCAATTAAAATACATGGTTTAAGCAAAATTTCATGCTATGCCGATTTCCCAAGGAGTAAACAATGAGGTCGTTTAGATTTTCACGGACACATTTCTGTGCTGCCCTTGTCCCTTTTTTTGAGTTGGTAAACCACTCATATGATGAAGTCAGGATGTTTAGAATTTTTATGTTAGAATTTTATATTACCGTCACGTATACTTGGGAGTGAATGGGAATTTATACATTTTGAGAAATTAAGGCAAAACACATCAGCCTGTATTTATTTATGCATATGTAGAGTATCTACAGAAAAAAGCACACCAAATAAAAAGAACATCTATTTGGAATTTGCCTCATTTTATGGATGACACATTTGCTCAATACAAACAACAAAACATGTTTTCCTGGAAGTAGGCAGAATAAAAGTTTGATCCTTGATCTAAGTAGAGGATATGGTTCATTCCTAAACCCAATGACTCCATTTGGCTGATGCCCATTTGAGGTCATTAATGCCATTTGTACCACCCAGAGCTGCAGCCACATTTCACAGCTGGCCGGACCCAACAGGGACAAGCCCCGAGTTATAGATGACAACCTACCTGGGGACAAGCGGGGCCTGATTAAGTTCGCGTTGCCTGCCACAATCAGGCAACTGTGTGTAAAATTCCCAGCTGAAGCCAGAAACTAAGGACCACAAGAAGTTGTTTTGAAATTTGCGTTAAGGCAAGGCATCCCACCAGCTACAGCTATCCACCTTCCTAGATTTTATTGCTCAGTCTCTTTGAACAGAATGCAATCAGACACATTTTTCTGTGACCTAGAGAATTCTACCAATTTGAAAGTTTGGGGGAGAAATGCTACACAGTAGACACAAGTAATTATTTACCAAAGATTATTGGAGTTGATTTGAGGACAGAAGAGGGTGACAGGCTCCCTTAAATGTTCCAGAAAACTGGGGGAAAGAAATACAGAGAAGCATGAATGTATCAATAACTCTTATTGAGCAAAACCACATAAGTGAGCAGACGCCGTGTATATCTGATCGGCAAGCGGCTGACTCCCCTCAGCAGGGAACAAGACACCCCTCCAAGGAAGGGGAACAACGTAGGGACCCTGAAATCCAGCATCGCGTTTGACTGACAGCACCCACCTACAGCTCATCAACCAAAGCTTTCCATCCCAGATCTCCATGGAAAAGAGTAAAACTCTGTATTGGATCCCTGTGACATAGAACCATTTCTTAAATCTCTGAAACAGTTACAGAGAGTGGCTGCGGCATGACCTGAAAACTGAATTTATTCTGAATAATGACGAACTAAGCAGAGAAACTTCCCTGGTGGTTCAGATGGTAAAGAATCTACCTGCAATGCAGGAGACCTGTTTTTGATCCCTGGGTTGGGAAGATCCCCTGTGGAAGAAACGGCAACCACTGCAGTATTCTTGCCTGGAGAAGCCCACGGACGGAGGAGCCTGGCGGGCTACAGTCCAGGGGACTGCAAAGCCAGGCACGACTGGGCAACTAACACTTTGACTTTCTTTGCAGAGTGTAATGTTCCCGCTCCACGATTTTGAATTCTTTACTTTCCATTTCAATCAGGGTTATTTTTTAAATTGAACTCAGTTGGAGAGATGAAAAGAAGAACATACATTCCATGAGTAGTAAGTTTGTGAGAGCAACTTTGTATGATTTAATTTGTTTGATGGAACTCTTTAATTACCGAAGGGGGTAGGAATTCCTGTTCCTATTTTAAAGAGGAACACTGAGACAGGGCAAAGAGAAGGTTGCGTGCCTGCAACAGGCAGTTGGAAGAACCAGGCTCAAAGTCCACGTCTGGCTGACTCATAATAACTTAACAATAGTGCATGTCACAGCTTACAAAGTTTTCCAACAAAGCTAAAAAACTAAAGTGCTCTGAGGCATTACTGAGGAAATCTTATGTGTAGGTAGTACTGCTGCTGCTGAGTCGCTTCAGTCGTGTCCGACTCTGTGCGACCCCGTAGACGGCAGCCCACCAGGCTCCCCCGTCCCTGGGATTCTCCAGGCAAGAACACTGGAGTGGGTGGCCATTTCCTTCTCCAATGCGTGAAAGTGAAGTCGCTCAGTCGTGTCCGACTCTTAGCGACCGCGTGGACTGCAGCCCACCAGGCTCCTCCGTCCATGGGAGTTTCCAGGCAAGAGTACTGGAGTGGGGTGCCATTGTCTTCTCCGGTGAAGATAGTAAAGAAACTTTAAAAGAAGATATTTTTCTGATTGAATAGAATCAGTGATTTGATGGTTCCCAATAGTGGGAATTGTGTCCCTAGAGGCTTCCCTTGTGGCTCAGCTGGTAGAGAATCTGCCTGGAATGCAGGAGACCTGGGTTCAATCCCTGGGTTGGGAAGATCCCCTGGAGAAGGAAGGGCTACTCACTCCAGTATTCTGGCCTAGAGAATTCCATGGGCTATACAGTCCATGGGGTAGCAAAGAGTCAGACATGGCTGAGCGACTTTCACTTTCAGTCTAGCCTCACCCTAAAATGAAGCCACGAGTCTGCAGGTCCCACGGTAGGACCCCACGATGTCATCAAAACTGCTGACAACGTGTAAGACAGTGCCACACATCCTATCACAGGTCATCCTCATAACCCAGTAAGGTGGGTTAGGACTTATTCATACATTCATTCATCCCTCGTCCTTTAATATTTATTATGTCCCACTCATTCTGTGCCTGCAACTGTATTAGAACTTAGATACATAGCAAATTTTAAAAAAAGATCTAGTTTGGCCCAAAACACTCACAGTCACAGACAGATTGAAAGAGGAAACAAGATGAGTGAAAACGCTCCAAACTGAATCCACGTAAACTAATAATAATTAGTATTTTCAAAGGAAAACACGAATGCAAGTGTGCTCAGTCGTGTCCGACTCTTTGCGACTCCCCGGACTATAGCCCCCCAGGCTTCTCTGTCCATGGAGATTCTCCAGGCAAGGATACTGGAGTGGGTTGCCACTTCCTTCTCCAGGGGATCTTTCTGACCCAGGGATTGAACCGGGATCTTCTGCGTCTCCTGCATTGGGAAGCAGATTCTTTACTGCTAAGCCATCAGGGAAGCCCCAAAGAAAAATAAAGCACTTTAAAAACAGGTCAGCAGTGATGGGACATGATTATCGCTATTTTTCTCTTCTTTGTATATATTCCTTATTCTTTCCTTTTTTTTTTTTAATGGCCAAGCCGTGCACTATGTGGGATCCTAGTTCTCTGACCACGGACCAAACCTGAGCCCCCTGGGACTTCCCTGGTCTGTCTGGTGGTAAAGAATCCACCTGTCAAGGCAGGGAGCATGGATTCCATTCCTGACCTGGCCTTGGAGGGACTAAACTCACGTGCTGCAACTACTGAAGCCAGGGCTCTAGAGCCCGTCTCAGTAACTAAGACCCAGCACGACCAAAATAAAAACCCTAAAAAACCTGAGCCCACTGCCCTGGAAGTGCAAAGTCCCAGCCACTGCCCACCAGGGAAGCCGTGTTCCTTCCATTTTAAAAGCCTGCCCTTCGGTCTCATAGAGGATCTACTCTTGCTTATGAAAGAGCATAAACGCGGATCATTTGCCTCCAGTCAAATGTGTTCTTTATACTAGAGGGAGAAGAGATCTCCTGAAATGGAATTTTGCACCAAAAGAAAGAGTTTTCAGAAAAGGAAGGTGATTTCACAAACTGTCCTGGAGCACTGAGCCTCCTCACCAACACCCTTGTCCGCGGTGCCGAGTGTCTCCCAGGGATCAGAGGCTGGGCCTGACTCTTTCTGGGGCTGTGGGGGCCGCCCCGACTCAGTCTGTCCGAGTCTGGCTCAGGACCTTCTGCAAGGTGACCAAGAGGAGCGGGCTGGGCCAGCAGGAAACGTTCTGCCTCGTGGGGTGAATCAACCGTGCAGGATGGAGCCAGCGGTGACGGCCTCAACCACCCATCTCGAACCCGGTGAGAAGTGACACGCTGTTGGGGGGGGACCCCGGGTGAAGGACCCTCTGTCCCTGAGAGGTTTAAACCTGGGGGCTTAAATGTTTAAATTTAAGAGGTTTAAATGTTGAGGCTGTTGATGTGACGTGCACACCTGTGGCTGGACAGAGGCGGCTGAGGATAAAGCAGTGTGGCCTGACCGGGCGAGGTGTGGGTGCCCGGGGACCCTCCCCTGGGTGCCGGCTGCCAGGCCGAGTGGGTCCCGGGGCTGCACAGGGCCAGCCCTGTGGAGGGGCTGGAGCAGGACTCGCCACCCCATCCCCGCACCGACAATCTCCTCTGCAGATGAAACTGGAGAGGAGAGCAGGGGTCAAGAGTGGGATCCGCCAGGGTGGGTATGCGGGGAGGCGAGGCATGACCTTGGCCAGGATGAAGTCTGGAAGGGTGGAATGGGGCGCCTGGCCAAAACGCGGAAGCCTGGAGACTAGGGGCCCCTCCCCAGGGAGCCGAGAGCAGGTGACAGTTGGCCTTGAACACTAGTTTGGACCATGTCCACCGCTAAACACCTTCACGGGTCCAAGCTCGTGGTTCAGAGACTGTGTGTTACAAGACAAAATGAAAAGCATTGCCAGGGAAAATAACATGTTTTCAGAAGACTCCCAAATCTTTTCATTTATTCATCAAGTGTTTCTTGAATGCCAGGCACTTTTCTAAGACACTTAGATTCTAAGTGATTCTAGAAAACACTACATAGAGTGAGAAAGATGCTCTAGAGCAGACGGGAGAGAAACACATTAGAGAAAATAAGTAAATGCATGGAGTGTTGGATGGTGGTGCGCTAAGAAGAGAAACCAGAGCAGATGAAGGGGACTTAAATGCAGGGCAGTGCGTGGAGGCGGCGGGGACACGTCGCATGGTTCCTGGGTGAGGCCTTCGCATGCAGACTGGAAGGAAGTGAGGGCGCACCATGGGGACGCCTGGGGAAAGTCATTCCCGGGAAAGAGAACGTCAGTGCAAAGGCCCTGGGGTGAGCGGACCCCTCTGTGATAAGGGAGCGGGGACGCCGGTGTGGCCTGGTGGGAAGAGCAGGACAGTGGGTGACATGAAGGAGAACAGCCTCCTATCGTGGCTCAGAACAATTTCTAGACTTATTTCTGCTCCTGTGTGTGTGCATGCTCAGTCACATCCGACTCCTGGCAACCCCATGGACTGCAGTCCGCCAGGCTCCTGTCCCTGGGATTCTCCAGGCAAAGAATACTGGGGTGGGGTGCCATTTCCTCCTCCAGGGAATCTTCCCAACCCAGGGATTGAACCCGATCTGACATCTCCTGCGTTGCCAGGGGGATTCTTTACCACTAGTGCCACCTGGGAAGCCCTGTTTCAACCCATGTAGCACAATAAAGATGCCTGCTCACAAATTCTGGCTCCTTCCAACCTCAGGAAGGGATTTAGCAGGTCTGCTTTCAGAAGTCATGATCAGTGCAGACCTCTGTGGGCCTCCTTAGGGATCCAGGCGCCTCTGGGAAAATTCTTCACATGGGGAGTCAGTCCCTGACACTGAGAGTGAGGTGGGGCCTCATCCTGATGAAGCCTTGCCTCCAGAAGGGCGAGGACTTGGCCAGGAAGCAGCCCCCGTAGGGACGGGGGTTCTCTTAAGCACAAACCCTGAAACGATGCGTTCTCTCAGAGCCCCTGTAAACGGCGGGCGGGGACCTTCCGGGAAGTTCCTTTGCCCCAACTCAGCCCTGACGGGTCCACGGGGTATCTGGCCCTGAGGCTGGCTCTCGAGTGCGCCAGCTGGGGCCTTCGGGATCTGCACGTGGGGTCTCAGGGGCCCGAGCCTCGCCCTCCTCGCCAGGAGGAGAAGTGTCAGGCCCTGGGCAAGGGGGCCGGAGAGGAGGGGGAACGACGCTCCCTAAAACCAGCAAGAAAGGCTGGATCCGGTTAGCCAAAACAGCGAAGACTTTTTAAGAACAGACCACAAGTGCATTTGACAAAATGGTATCGCCTTGAAACCGGAAGTGAAGTAAATGGCGGTGTTTACAAGCCAAGGCGAATGTTCAAAGGGAGGCTCAGACACAAAGGACAGATGGCGCAGAGAAAGCCAGTGCGTTCAGCCAACACCCACAAAATGCAGGCTTTTTTAAGTGCCCCGAAGGCTGTTTATGGCCCAAGGGCCCAAGGCTCTGTCGCTCCTGCCCCGGCAAGCCCCTCAGTGCCCACACCACGGCCTGGAAGGGACAGCTGGCCGCCTCTGCTTAGGGAACTGTCATTTTCATGCGGACACAGCCTCCGTCTGATAAAAGCCAGTCAGAGTCGCTCCACCTGCTATCTGACAAGGAGAAAAGGGAGGAGACGCTTGGCGTCAGCAGGATGATTCACCTGCTGAAACTGCAAGAACAACAGGGGGAAATTTCAAACAAACCATCACACCCTCCGCTGTCTATTCTAGTGGGTATTAAACCCGAAGGGACCCTGGGCCTGCGATTCTTTACAAGTCCAATTATAAGAGCTGCAGAAGCGCTCTGTAGTTGTATCTCTTAGGAGCATCTGCAAAAATCATCCTAAAGCATTCTGCCCGCATTTGATGATGACCGTTGACATGAATATTAAGTACAGATTGAAGGATGCTGATAAAATGAAGGACAGATTGAAACCCCGAGTTGCTCGTAGTCAATCAGGTAGAAAGTAAGGGAGAAAGCAAGCATTTTCATGGCTATTTTCTCATTGCCTGTTATTTCTGGTCCCTTTAGAGCCTTTCTCATGCTGGAAGTATTAAAAAGCAAAAAAACCCAGCCAAGTCAAATTATACATTCATTACCACAATTAAAAATGATTCTACCACTTATTCTAAAACCCAAATCAAGTTACAGTACAAGAATTGATACCAAAAATTTAGCAAAATGCTGGTCTTTCTAGGAGTTGGTTCATCTCTTTGTCAATCACAGAATCTATTTTGGAGCACATTCAAGGTTTTTTGTAACAGAGTATTTTTTTAAATAAATGGGTGAGTGATTTTGATTATGTTCAGAAACAAACGTGAGTTTTAGAGACACACACCCGCACATTTAGAACAATATCCCCTTCCGATAGGAGGGACAGAAGGAACACACCACCAGCTTCATCTTCACAGAGAACAAGCTGCCGCGTGGACAGTATAACGTCACAACCCCAAACTTAGAGATTCTGTGGTGAACGTCTTGGGAAGGAAGACGACCTTCACCATGCTCAGTCCTGGTTTGGTCATCAAGCTGATCAATAATCTTAAAATTTCAAGGCTACGCTGAAGAGTCCTCTGTCACTTACTTGGGGAGGGGGCTTCTGAGGTACCTCCATGTGGATGCTGGGGAAGACACCAGGGTCTGTAAAGAACAATAAATGCTCAATTCCAAAGACAGGTCAGCTCTGATGAACAGACGCCTCATTGCACAAAAGTGTTTCACGGAAATAAAGTGCTTCTTATTTGGAGATGTGTTTTTCAACATTTCTGAGATTATAAACATATTCTAGCACGTCTACTTGGAATTTGGTAGTGGAGACAACTTCTCGTCACCTCAAGTAAATACAGCCTTTATATCTGCTTAGATTCTCCACATATAACAAATGTTTTGTTGCACATAATAAGATGCCCCAAATGTACTATTATTTTCCATCATTTTTATTATTTTTTTTTATTGGTATCATTTTTAGAGGAACATTATCTCTGATTGTTTAAATTCCTTGTGTGACTATCTGCCTGCAATGCAGGAGACACAAGAGATGCAGGTTTGATCCCTGAGTCGGGAAGATCCCCTGGAGGAGGAAAGTGGCAACCCACTCCAGTATTCTTGCCTGGAGAATCCCATGGACAGAAGAGCCTGGCTGGTTACAGTTCATGGGGTCACAAAGAGTTGGACATGACTGAGTGACTAAGCACATTCCACGCACACACACATATTAGTGATGAATAAATATTTATAAAAGTAAAAAAACATGATTTATTGCTTCTCAGAATATCTAGATGTGGTTTCAGTCAAAATTAGACAGACTATCAAGAAAAATAACTTATTAGAAAAGTTAAACTATATATTTGCAATTTCAGATTCATTAATACTGGGTCAAGTCAAATTCAACTACATTTAATATGATGGCAACTGCTTTGTCTTTTCACTTTTGAAGTTAGAAAAGTTTTATTATTCTTGATAAATCAATTCAAATACTATTTTTATTTACATTCAAGGAAAATGAAAATTTCAGCATTAACTATCCTCTTAAAATAAGTGTGTGCTATACCTGAATGGATTGACAAAAATTTTACAGCTAAACTATTAAGGCTTCAAAATTGTGAAAGATAAAAATGAAAATTTGAAAGAAGTGAAAAATAAAAAGAAGAATGGCCAAACAGGACATCCCTGGTGGTCCAGTGGTTAAGAGTCCACGCTTCAGTGCAGGAGGCACAGGTTTGATCCCTGGGGTGGGGGGGTGGGTGAGAATTAAGATCCCACAGGCCTGGCAGTGTGGCCAAAGAAATAAATGAAACTATCAGGGAATGGCCAGATAATAGTCTTCTGAAAGAGTCTTCCCATGTGTTTCTGACTCCCCCTTGGTGCTTTACAAACGTGAAGGATTCCTTCTCACTCGTATCCTGGATGCACTCTTACTGTCCCTTGTTTTTATCTTCACCCTGTCTGAAAATGTCAGCAGGCAGCTTTCCTGCAAACATCAAGGACCTTCCCAAATTTAAGGGCCCTATTGTTGAACAAAGTGCCACGAACTCAGCTTCGAGAATTAGAACCCAATATTTGCATTGGTCATACTCTGTAAGTAGACTAAGCTCAGGCTCTTAGCTGAGTGACTAATTTCCCACTAACTCCAAAACAAAGGCAATTCAAGGGAAAACCTCAGCTCTGGAGATCCATTAGAGAGCTAAAAATACTTTATGGCTGTATTATTTTAATGGCTTCCCTGGTGGCGCAGCGGTAAAGAACCCATCTCTCACTGCAGAAGACTCAGGTTTGATCCCTGGGTCAGGAGGATCCCCTGGAGAAGGAAATGCCAACCCCCTCCAGTGTTCTTGCCTGGAGAATCCCGTGGACAAAGGAGCCTGTTGGGCTGCAGTCTGTGGGGTCACAAAGAGTTGGACGTGAACAACAACATATCATTTTAATCCTAAAACTGGTACTTTTTTTTTTTAACCAATCAGAAAAAGGAAAAGAAACTCACTTGATAAAAATTCACACATTAACTGGCCAGCAGGAAAGGTGGTGGTCATCCCTCTAAGGCTAAACACAGGTTTAACTGGAAGAGGAGCTTCTCTGCTAAGTCTCGGGACAGATCAGCCCAGCCTGGTCCCATGTGGTACTGCCTTCCGGCACCCAGGGGCCTGCACACTGTCCTCTTGTTTGCTGCTGCCAACGGCACAGATGCGACCCCGCTGATCGGAGCAGACTGACTGCTGGGGTGAGTGGACCCCTCCAGTCACGCTGGGTTCTCAGCTCCGTTACACTTTTGCTTCAAAACCTCAACTCAGACCCAAGAGGATATGTGCACATGTGTCACGAGAACTTGCAGTCACAGGAGCTGCCTTACACAGCATCCTTCAGGGTATGCTTATAATTAGACAAAAACCTACTTCTGGTTTACCAAAACGTGCACATTTCTTCCCTCTCCTCGTTCCACAAATGTTTGCTGAGCTCCTCCTGCGTGCTCTGCACCCCTCTCGGCTTGGAGGACCACAGGACGGAAATGCTGGCTCGCGGGGCGCTTGTGTCCAGGCGAGGAGAGCAGCACGCCGACAAGGAATGAAGAAACAAGTCAGCTCTCAGGCAGCTCAGCCTTTACCTCGGCCCTGACGACACGGGGCGCCGATGGAGGGTTTCACAGGGCCGGCCTCAGAAGGCACCCCGGTGCCTCCGTCTTCACAGGGACAAGTGATCGCTTCGGTCCAGAAGTGGGCCAGGTTCCCCGGGCCATCCCTGTGACCTCCTGACTCACAGAGTGTGACAGAGTGGAATTCTGCGACTTCCAAACCCAGGCCCGAAGAGCACAGGCAGCTCCTGGTGCCTCTTTCTTAGAAGACAGGCTCCCTTTAGGAAACACGACGCCCCAGCAGAGAGAAAGCGGGGCGGGCAGAGAGACACAAGGAGAAAGGCCGAGGGAGACAGGCAGAAACAGAGGGGGAGAGAAAGGCGCAAAAAGAGAGACAGAAGAGACAGAGAGAGAGGTGTCGAAAGCCAGTTAGCGCCCAGCGAAATGCAGCCAGGTGGTGGAGACCAATAGAGGGATCCTCCAAGCAACGCTGAGAAGCAGTCCAGTCTGTTTGAAGCCGCTGGGCTCGGGGGCCTTGTGTCACGGGGCAGAGATCACTGACATGCAGGCAAGCATTGCCCCAGCCCTTTGTTAAGACTACGGGGTGTGGTGGCGTCCAGGGGAGCAAAGGCGGCGAACGGGACAAGAGACTGGCCAGCCTGGACATGGGTCGCCATCAATTCATGGGCACGGTGACCCGTGATCAGGTCCTGGAGAGAGAGGCCTTGCGGTAGCACTCTGTTGATAGAGGATTGGAGGGCAGGCAGAACGAGCCTGCGGCCTCCTCTGGACGTGAAAGGGGCCACCACGACTGCTGACACGCGGTGTGGGCCGTGTGGCTTCACCCCCCGACGGGGCAGCAGCACAGACTCGGTCCAGACTCCCCATCAGCAGACGCTCAGCCGCAGCTGCAGGCCGGCTGTTCCCCAGGGCGCCTGGGGGAGGTCCCTGGCTTCAGAGCTGCAGGATTGGGGTGAGCGGAGCCGGCGGGAGGCACCTGCCACTGGAGAACACCGGGAAATAGGAATTCCTCCCAGGCCCAGGTACAGGCGCCGAGCCCCGCGGACGGCAGCCAGGAAGGTGGACTGCGTAAGACCCCACCGGAGTCACCCAGTGGCTTCTTGGAGATGAACCCGATCGCGGTTTCCTTCTCAAGAAGCAAGTTCTCTTTATTTGCTCACAGAGGGGACACAGTACTGAAAGGTGAGGTGCTGTCAGGGAGAACCCAAGAGGACAGTGTCCTCTGGGACCCAATCTTGTTTTAAAAAATTAATTGATTTTAACAGAAGGATAGCTACTTTACAGTATTGTGATGGGTTTTGCCATGCATCAGTAAGAATCGGCCGTATGCAGACATGTGTCCCCCCCATCCCGAGCCCCCCTCTGTCCCCACCCCATCCTTCCAGGTTGTCACAGAGCACTGGCGTTGGGTCCCCCGCGTCACACATCAGACTCACACTGGCCATCTGTTTAACATGTGATATAAATGCTGCGATGCGATCCTCTCAGATCATCCCACCGCTCCTTCTCCTGAGGCCAAAAGTCTGTTCTTTACGTCCGAGTCTCCTCTGCTGCCCTGCATGCAGAATCGTCAGAGCAGAATTCTGTCCGTACGTGTTAATATACGATGCCTGCTTTTCTTTCTGCCTGACTTCACTCTGTACAACAGGCTCCAGGTTCATCCACCACCTCATTAGAACTGACTCAACGGGACGCAGCCTGTGGAGGGCCGTCAAAGCCCAAGTTCACTTCCTCTCCCGCGACGGGCACCTCAGCCCATCTGCTGCTGATTCAAAGCCCAAGTTCACTTCCTCTCCCACGACGGGCACCTCAGCCCGTCCACTGCTGTCTGCCGAGGGTGGTCGGAAGGAAGGGGAGACTCGGCCCCCGGGGTCCTGGCTGTGGTTGCAGACCCTCCTCGTGGCCCCGATCAAGCCCTGGCTCAGAAGCATGACGCTGGTCTCCAGGGAATCTGCGGGAGCGCCTGCCTCCCCGGGAGCTGACCTTGGTGTCCCCTTGGCTTTCCCAGGGGCCATTCATTCCATCGGTGGGTCTCTTCTGGGCACCTACTGTGTGTCCAGGAACACTCTGCTCACCAGGTGTCTGCAAAGAGTGATTCTTTATTGAAAAGAAAGAAAGCGAAAGTTGCTCAGTCGTGTCTGACTCTCTGGAACCCCATGGACTGTATAGTCCATGGAATTCTCCAGGCCAGAACACTGGAGTGGACAGGGGATCTTCCCAATCCAGGGGTCAAACCCAGGTCACCCGCATTGCAGGTGGATTCTTTACCAGCTGAGCCACAGGGAAGCCCAACAATACTGGAGTGGGGAGACTTTCCTTCTCCAGGGGATCTTCCCGACCCAGGGATCGAACCCGGGTCTCCGGAATTACCAGCTGAGCTATCAGGGAAGCCCCAAGAGCTGGAAAAAGCAAAGTTCAGAGCTGGCTCCTGGAAGGCTAACAGTTTGTGAAATCACTGATGGGTTATGTCCATCCCACAGCCCCTCAATCTCCCTTCTAAGGAATCTCTTCTCTAAGTGGTTTACGAGATGAAGAAAATGTTCTTCATTTCCCACTTCATCCTTTTCCCTCCCCTCCCCTCCCCTGCTCTCTCCTCTCAGGTCTTACCTCACCTCCCAGGACAGTGTTTAGTCAGAGCCTGAGCGTCACCAGTTCTACGTCTTGTGCTGCGGAGGTCACACCACGGGCTTCAGCCCGCTGGACAGAGGAACGGCTGGAAGCCGACCACGCGTTCTCGCAGCACGTGGGCTCCTGCAGACTCGACGGCTGCCACGAGTGACAGCAGGATCTGAGACCGCAGCCGACGGCCCGCGGGGGCTCAGGGCGTGTGCCGTCCCCGAGCCCGGGGAGCACGCTGAAACACCTCTGAGAACCCGTTTCGGTCGCCGCCCTGTGTTCGGAGGGCCCGGGCCTGTATTCTAGGAAACGCCGCGTGGGGTTCACACACACACGTGTTCACACCGCAGACAGACGCCTCCTCCTCCTCTTGCCCCCGACCACAGCAGCAGACACCCCACAGGCCCCCACCACAGCCCCCAGGCGAGCGTATCAGGCTCAGCGTCGACACGGGGGCCACAGCCTAACCCCCGGTGGATCTCTGACAGGTACGCCCCGCTGCGGGCCAGGTGCCTTGACGGGCAAGCCCACACCTGCCCCGTAAGGAAGCACTCAGAGTCGGGTCCCCTGACTGGGGTGCAGCTCGGGGCAGGCGGCAGCGGGGAGAGGCCTGGAGTATCCCCCACCCCCGGGGCTGGCGCACGCCCTTCAGAGACAGGCCCTGGCGCTTACTGCTTGAAGGCAGGCGGCCGCCCGCTGCAGATGGAGACGCAGACTCGACGGCCCTGCCATCAGACGGGACAGTCCAGTCCCCGAGGGGGCTGAAGGCGGGGGCCTGCTTCTCACACTCCAGCCTCAAGGATGAGGATAACCAGGGTGGGCTGCTAAACCAGACTGACGGGCCAGGCCCAGGTTCCTGAGCAGGAGGGGTGCTGGCGGCCTGAGAGTCTGCATTTCCTGCTTTATTTGTAATTTAGTTGTATTTATTTGGCTACTCCAGGTCTTCTTTGCAGCATGTGGGACCTAGTTCCCCGACGAGGGACCAAACCCAGGTCCCCCGCACTGGGGATCAGTGAGCACTAGGCCACCAGGGAGGTCCCGAGAATGGACGTTTCTAATTAGTCTCCTGGGGTGGTTCTCATCAGGGCCACTGCCAGGAACCACTGATGCCATGCGGGTACGGGGCCAGGCATGCTGCTATCTGATGATGGTGAAGAATCTATCCCAACACATACAAGAAAGGCTGGTTTGCTAATACGCTCACATCTGTGCACACCTGCATCAAGCCCTGCCAAGCCAGTCCACCTGTGGTCAAGGGCCGGGTTCAGGACACAGACACCACGCAGCTGACCGAAGGGCCCGATTTATAGCAAAATGACAGGCAACCTCACGCTTGGCCCTCAAAGGCCCCCGGACAGCAGAAGGTACGACTGTCTGTCTGTGAGGAGCAAGACCTGTGTGTGCGGTTAATGGTGACATACACAGTCACAAGGTGATAATAAAGCACTTTGGATCCACCCACAGGGCCCATTGGTGGCACTTCCCTGGTGGCTCAGAAGATAAAGAATCTGCCTGCCGTGTGGGAGACCTGGGTTCTATCACTGAGTTGGGAAGATCCCCTGGAGAAGGAAATGGCCACCCACTCCAGTATTCTTGCCTGGAGAATCCCATGGACGGAGGAGCCTGGTAGGTTATAGTCCATGAGGTCACAAAGAGTCGGACACGACTGAGCGACTTAACACTGCTTTCACTACAGTGCCCACCTGCTGTGACCCAGCCAACTGCCCAAAGTCTGACTTTGAAAGTGGCAGTGGAAGGCCGTTCCCACTCCAGACAGACACCCCTCGCTGCGGGCAAGGGAGCCCCCGTTCTCTGCTGAGAAGGCCACTGGGACTGCCCGGGGTCTGGGTCTCCCAAGGGTGACCGCAGCCTCTCAAATAGGACCTACGGCCACACAAGCCGAGCTGCTCACCACCCCCATGACCTGGTTTCGGAGTCTCAAGGGCATCCTTTCTGGGATTTCTGCGAGGCTTCCTGGTTAAGCCCTACCCAGCTTCTCACACCAGCAACTGTGGTCACGTGTCCACCTGCACCATGTCGCCCATAGAAACCACACCCCAGCATCACGTGGTCTCAGGAGGAAACCATGAAACGATACAGGGGAAACGGTACAGCTGCCCACACGGAAGGCCAGATTCGCGCATGAGGCCAGGGCGGGCTGGCCACGTTCCTCTCTCCTGTTCCTTTAATTTCCTGCCTGTCCCTCTCCTAGAGGCCGGCTTGTCCACTCTCACTGATCCCCTGTTGACACACCTTTACAGCGGCCTCAGTAAACTCGTTTTGGATTTAATTTCAAGTGGCACTTCTCCTTTTCATGTTGGAAACGGTCTTGCTACGTTGCAGATTTATTTTTTTCTCGCCCTTCTGTGAACAATCTCCTCCTAGGTCAGCTCTGGAGTAACAATATTGAGTCAGAGATACGCTAGCCTCAGTGCAGGCAAACCAAACAGGCGCCCCGGGGCTGGCAGAGACCCACGGGCCAGATGAAAGGCCGCAGGCTTTCTCACAGCTGGGTGTGAGCTGCACCCACCACGCTCCAAGCTCACCTGCAGGGTCCTTGCGCGGAAAGGCTTCAGAAATACCTACGTGGAGCCAAAAGCCATGATCAGAAAGGGACTTTCAGGCTTGAGCGTCACGTTATGTCATCTTTTAAAACTGGGATATTTAGAAAGAAGCTGGTGGCTCAGAGAGTAAAGAATCTGCCTGCCCTGCAGGAGACCCAGGTTCAATCCGTGGGTTGGGAAGATCTCCTGGAGGAGGGAATAGCTCCCCATTCCAGAAGAATCCCATGGACAGAGGAGCTTGGCTCCACGGGGTCGCAAAGAATTGGACAAGACTGAGCACTCACTCTCTTGACTCTGATAAAGGCTTTACTTTTAGAGCAGTTTTAGCTCCACAGCATAATTGAGAGGAAGGTACAGGTTTGGCACAACCTCCCTGTTTATCAACTTTACTCTCCAGGATGTACATTTGTGACCAGGGATGAGCCTACTTTGACACAGACTCTGAAGTTTACATTAGGGTTCACTATTGGCAGTTTGGGTTTGAATAAACAAATGACGGCATACATGCAACATTATAACATCACACACAGTACCTGCACTGCCTTAAAAATCTCTGTGCTCAGCCTATTCACCCCTCCCCACCCCTTACCCATGGCAACCACTGATCTCCACACTGTCTCTGTAGCTTTGCCTTTCCCAAAATGCCATGTACCTGGAATCATACTGTGTGTGTACTTACAGACTGGCTTCTTCACTCAGTAATGTGCCTCTAAGTTTCCTCTAGGTCTTTTCATGACGTGGCAGCTCTTTTGGGGGTAGTGATTAATATTCCATTGTCTGGATGTTCCACAGCTTCTTTATTCATCACCTACCGAAGGACATGCTTCCACATTTTGGCAGTTATGAATAAAGCTGCTACAAACATCCATATGCAGATTTTTGTGTGGATGTAGTTTTCAACTCCTTTGGGTAAATAACAAGGAGTGTGATCACTGGGTTGTATGGAAAGAGTATGCAGAGCTTTGTAAGAACCTGCCAAACCATCTTCCAAAGTGGCTGTACCAATTTGCACTGCCACCAGCAATGAACAAGAATTCCTGTTGCTCCAAAAGCTCACCACCATTTGGTGTTGTCGGTGTTTCAGACTTCAGCTATTTCTCTTCTTTATTGGCTGTTCTAATAGGTATGTAGTGATATCTCATCATGGTCTTCATTTGCAATTCCTTGATGGCATATGAAATGGAGCATTTTTTCACATGCTTATTTGCCACCTGTATATCTTCTTTGGTGAGGAGTCTATCATGGCCTTTAGCCAATTCGTTATTCATTTCTAAGAAATTTGGGGGCTGGATCTTCACTGCGGTGCACAGGCTCTTTGTACATGCATGCAGGCTTCTCTCTAGTTGTGGCGCGTGGGCTTAGCTGTCCTTTGGCATGTGGGACTTCAGTTCCCTGACCAGGGATCAAACCCACACCCCCTGCATGAAAGGTGGATTCTTAACCCCTGCACCACAGGGAAGTCTCTAGCCCATTTTTTAAAATGCAGCTGCTTCGTATTGTTGAGCTTTAGGAGCTCTCTGTATCTCTGTACAGCACCCCTTTACGAGGTGCGACTTTTGCAGGTATGCTCTCCTATCTCATGACGTGACTTCTCACTCTTTTTCTACTTTCTTGAATTTGATTGCCGGCTGCTGTTGACAATTTTTACATCTGTGTCATGAAAGATATTGGTCTGTAGTTGTCTTTTCTTGTAATACCTTTACATCATTTTATTAATTAATGTTAGTATTGAAGTTGGCAGACTAATATACAGTTTTAGAAAAAAAAGACAACATTTTTATCCTTGTCTTGAAATGTCCATGAAATCTTACAAAACCTTTCTCACTCTTGTCAGCGTAAATACTTCTATATACCTGCATGTACTAGCAAGTACGTATGGAAGAGGAAGCGGCTTTCCATTCCTCTTCGAATTCAGCGGGGTCATTAGAAACAATTAACATTAAAAATACTTTTAATTTCTTCCATTTCTGCAGACTATAAAGCCTTATTTCAAGTGGATCATGACTGTTTTCAAAAGCTCCACATTTCTAATATTATTTGAGAAAAACACCTGAGATTAAGATGTAAGATTTATTCTACTTTAAGTGTTAAGCAGATAGTCTACCGTCATGAGGGCATTTTGTCTTCTCTCCAGAGAATGCGGAACAGAAGTCGAAAGTTTGCTACGAATTAACCTTTCAGCCATCTCCAGCCATCTGACAGAGCAGCCCCAACAATGCTGCCCCGTCTGACAGTGGAGAATGGCTGTGGTCCTGACACCTAGGTGCGAAGGCCCGGGCCTCCCAGCTCAGCCAGAAGGGCCGGGCACCTCAGGGATGAGAGACAGATGGAAGCACCTGCCCTCTGCCAGGAGCTTTGGGTCCCACCTGCACCCACACCATCTTCTAATGACGAAACCATTCAGGACACAGCCTACCAAGTTTTCCAGCAAAATAATTTGATTAAAATCATACACAACAAAATAAAACCTATTTTAAACAGCACACACTCTTCATTTTTGTCTTTAAACGAATTTGTGCCGTGCACTTGCACCTAAGGGTCTTCTCATGATAGCCTCATGAAATAAGCACGATCTTCCCCATTTCCTAGAGGCACTCGG